CAGAACAAATTTGACTTTTTTTTTGTTCTTACTGCAGAACGAGGATTTGAACTCAGGTCCTTGCGCTTGCCAGGCAAGCGCTTATCCTACTGAGCCATCTCTCTGGCTCTTACAATTAGTTTTTAAATCAGGCAAATTTAATCTCTAATGTTTAAAGTGATTACCTTTTTTTTGTAATTTGATAACAGGGATCAAATTCAGGACCTTGCACTTGCCAGACAGGTGCTTATGCCACTGAACTATCTCTCTGCCCCAAAAATGATTACCTTTTGCTGAGGTGGGAGACCAATGGGAGGGGAACAGGAAGAAAAGTTTATGGTGTCCACAGTGTCTGTTTCTAGATCTGCTATTTCAAATATGAATGGGTTTGATTCATTAGAATTCAGAACACTAAGCACATGTGGATGAGTACACTTCCACACAGAGATGATACTTTAAACATCAGTTTCTATATCTCAGGGTACATGTCATACAATATATTTAGACAGCATATGATCAGTTCTTAAGTAATACCTTATTCAAAGTGTGGAAAACAAAATTCATGCCATGATTTGATTTGAGGGCCACAGAAACAATAATTGTATGAAAAATATTATACCACATCTAAATGATGACAGTTTTAATATAAGGAAAAGCAAATGAATTAAAAGAAGTCTTAGAATAAAGTTTTCCTTTAGTTTCATCTCATTTTGGCAACACTCTTAGAAAAAGTTACATTTCTTGAAAAATTACATGTGTATAACTTTTAATACAAAATGTGATTTGCAAAATAAATTTAAAAGACAGTGCCTTAAGAAGGTAAAGCTGGTTATAGGAAATCTTGAATCAATTTTAATTAACAAATGATGGAAAAATTTTAAAAGAGGATTTGTTCAGCAAGTGAAAGTTTCACAAAGAAAAAATTTTATGACCACATATAATATGATACATATTTCTCTCTGTGAGTGAATATTGTGCTTTGTGAATGACTTATTATGATATACTTCTCTATTCTTTTTTTCCCTGGCCAAAGTGCACCTGTGTAACTGGGATTTCAGTGAGGATTTTTGCATCCTCTGATATTCAGTAATTAGTATAATTGCAATGGCCTCAGCAGAAGCCTAGAGAAATATGATCTCAAAATGCAAATAATGTCATCTCATTCAACAACAAATTATAGCACTTTTCAGTGACCTGACATTTTAACTACATAGAAAAATTAGAAGGACAACATGTAGATACCAAACATAATTTGTGAGCCATACTTCACTTCAAGAGTTGCTCACAACTTGTGATCCTTTTCATTGGAATTGAAAAGTGGAAACAATTTCTCTACTCTCTGTAAGTCTGAAGCCAGACGTGGGAGCTTTCTTCACCAAGCAACTCTCCAGGTCTTTAGGATATCAACTAGATGCCCTACACTTGAATACAATTCTTGAGGTAGCACCAACTGCATAGGTCAGGAGCTCAGTTTCTTAAGAAGGTCCCCTCAATTCAGATGTCTTACAGATACTGAATCTTCAGATAACACTCAGTTCTATCTGACATAGTCAAAAGTGTGGGGTACATAAACCCTTTCCTCCCCTTTTATGACTTGCTATAATGACTCACAAAGCTCTGGGGAAAACCTTACTAATTACTTTATCATAAGGAATACCACATGGAATAGCCAGATGAAGACATAAGTAGGGCAGGGCAAAGCATAGGGCAGGTGTGTGGAACACCTATTCCCAAGGTGGCAATGTTGTCCTTTAGGATCTTGTGTTCACCAAATTGGAAGCTCTTGGTCCTGTTGTCTAGAGATGTTATGGGGTTGTCATTAGTTGGGCTTGATTGATTAGATTATTGGCCATAGCTAATTCAGTTTTTAGTTCCTTTTGACTCCCCTGAGTTTAATGTATGGGGCTGAAAGTTCCATCCTTTTAACAACATTGTTATGGTTTGTGTCCGAATGTCCCCTTTAAAGCTTCCTGCAGTCATCGGGGTGGGTTCTAGAATTTGTGATTTATTTATCGTTTATCCAATGGTAGGCTTACAGACAAGATTGCTACACTTGCCCTGGGACAGGTAGCCTGCATTACAGTCTGGGTTGGGGTGAAGAGGCTTGCTCTTTCTGTTACTCCCCTTTTTGCTCTTGTTGTCTTCTGCTGCCATGAACTGTTGTTCCTCTGCCATGCCTCCCTGACTTGGAGCCAGCTGATTAAAGACTGAAACCTCCACAAACTGTGAGCTAACTTAACCATCTCCTTTTTAGTTTTGGGCATCAGGCATTTTGTCTAAGCAATGAAGGAAAAGTAACTAACACAAACACACTGGTCATTTTGGTAACCATCCCCTGTTCTGAACCTTCTAGAAACTCTAGCCTCCAGTCTTTTCCTTAGTTTACAAAACACACCTGTCACTCTGGAGGCTCCTGAGGTCTTAGAGGCTCCTTTAAGTGATCAAGATGGAAGATCAAACATCAAAACAGAAGTTGCTCCTGGTACCTCTGTCACTTGGAAAATTATAGGGGTTTTGGGACCTTGTGTGTCAGGAACTGGGTACAAAGACCAAATATACTTTCTAAGCAGAGGTTGAATTTCTTTTGTGGCGCACCTGAGCTTTGCTAGTCTCTTCTTATCCCATACCTGTAAGACATCACCTTTGTGGGATCTGAGGTAATAATGATCCTGTTAGCAGGTATTGTCCAGGCCACTTGAGAGAGATTCTAATTAGTTGAGAGGATTCTTAAAAGAGTTTCTCAGGAGTAAGATTACATGTTTGTTTTGTACATATATCCAGAGGCTTTTCAATGAGTGCAGTTTTATAATTCTAGGAGATTTCCAGAGTGCTGCCTATTCTTTTTTCTACACTAAAAGCCAGAGGCTGTTGAGATGGGAGTAATTTTAGACAATAATGAATTAAAACAAACAAGCTAAACATCCCTGCCAACTGGTGAGTCAGCCAAACCTTCCAGTTTCCAGTTTTGTTTTATTTTTTGATACATTTGATTTATCTGGTATGTTCATAAGAAAATATAACAATGACTTCTGGTTCCCCCCTTGTACTTTATGTAGCTAATCTTTAATTTGTAAGGTTGACTGAAATTGGGGTGCCACTGTTGCTTAAATCATTGTTTGAAAAAATGAAGACTGAAACAAAAATAGTCTTATTAATAAAGTTTCTTCCATAAATACAGTCCCTTAAAAATGATTTGGGGTTGTGCTTCTTTTTCTCTCTGCTAGCTCAGGTACACACCCTTGTTTCAAGTTCTCTACCTTTGTAGTAAGGAATTTTTGTGAATTTGAGCAAGAAGTACAAAGGACAGGTGGTTGTAATTTAAAAATTCCTCTCATAGGGAAAAGAAGCTAGGGGCTGTAGGGAGTTTTAGAAGGCTACTCTGTGATTTCCATGGGAGACAGAGTGGGCTCAAACAGAGGAGTACACTTGGCCTTGGGCAAGTCCTTTGGGCTCTAGATGTGATTATGACTTTAATTTTGAGTCTGATCTCCAGTGGTTAATCCTTGTTGCTTAAAGAAACTCTAAAACACACACACACACACACACACACACACACACGTATAAATTTTTTTTTCTGAGAAGGAAACTTCCTTTAGTCAGAAAAAGGAGCATCAAAGGAAGCCTCTCTAAGATAAAAAATGACCCAAAGTCAGGGACTGGGGGAAGGTCAGAGAGTCCTCAGTTCTGAGATTTATTCTTGGGTTCAGTATATGAACACTACATTTTACGGCACTGTTGTCTAAGTGCTAGTACACATCGCTACTTCTACCTTCGGATCCCTTACTTTACACTTCTACAAGTTAACTGTATTTTTGCTTATCATTTTACACTCTTAAAACTTCAAATTTGGTTTTTATCTTTTTCTTTTGCTGTATTCTGTAGCTGAATCTGTGGTATATATTTTAGGAGATTTTTATATGCATATACCTCAAAATTAAACCACTTACGTAGAGTAAAAAAAAATTGACTCAGTTGCATCCAAGTATCTACAAAAGCCTCAAATTTATCCTTTTTATAGTTGAGGAATACTCCATTGTGTCAAAATGCCACATCTTTTTTATCCATTCCTTAGTTGATGGGCATTTGTGTTGTTTCCAAGATTTAGCTATGACAAATTGCACTGCAATAAACATGGTGCAAATAAATCACTGTGGTATGATGATTTCAGTTCTTTTGGAAAAATACCTAAGAGTAGAATAGCTGGCTTGAATTGGACCTCCAATTCTAGCTCTTTTTTTTTTTTTTTTAAACTTTTTATTCTCTATTTTTTAGAGAAGGGTCTACAGGGTGTTCAGGATCTCACTACTAGATTGGACTTGTAGTGGTCCACCTATTTACAGCCTCCCAAGAGCTGGGATTACAGGTATGCACCACCACACCCAGTCTCAATTGCTGTCTCAGTGTGCCCTGGGGGCAGAGCCGCCCCAGCAGGCCCAGGGATGGAAGCCCTGGTCCCTGCACCTGCTTGCAGGCACTTTAATCTGCTGAGCTATTTGGTTGACCCAAGTCAAGATTTTTTTTTGGGGGGGGTACTGGGGATTGAACTCAGGATCCTGTACTTGCAAGCAAGCACTTATTCTACTGAGCTATCTCCCTAGACCTAATCCTAGCTTTTTGAGGAATCTCCACTCTGATTTCCACAGTGGTCGTACCAGCCTATACTCCTACCAACATTGGAGAAGGGTTCTTTTTTTCCCCACAACCTCTCCAGCATTTATTAGTTGACTTCTAAATGATAGCCATTCTTTCTGGGGTAAACCTCTATTGGTAAGTGAAATAAATCAAACCCACATATGCAAATACCATATTGTTTCACTAATGTGAGAACCTGAAAGAGTAAAATTTGAAAGCTACAATAGGTACCTGTGAAAGGAAAAGAATTAGTTCAATGGGAAGGAAAAACTGGGATGAGGAAAAGGACAAAAAAAAAGAAGGGGAAAAAAACAATTTTAAGTATATATGAAGGATAATTTGGATAATTATGCTGCCAACTTCTGCTAGTCTTTTGAAAAGAAAAGTTAGTGCTCCTTTCAGCAGCACATACACTAAAATTGGAATGAAACAGAGAAGATTAGCACGGCCCCTGTGCAAGGATGACACGCACATTCATGAAGCATTCCATATTTTTGTGAGTTCAACTCCCAGAACAACAACACAAAATCTTTAATGTCTAGAGCTTCTATTTAAGACAGGGGATATTTTTGCCAAATGAAAGAATTTTATGCATACAAAGTGAATGTGAGATGCAATATCAGGCCGTAGAGAGGTAAAGATGATGCACATTTGCCTATTATTCTATTTAATATTTGAATTGAAATTTTCTTTCTTGTTTAAACAACATAAATTAAAATTTTCTTTCTTGTGGAAAAGGAATTGGCTGCAATAACTATGATTGTCTTGAATGTCAAACTGGTAAGTTTGTTTATCATTATCTATCTATTCATTTATCTTTTCCTTTTTTCTTTTGCAAATGTTATAACCTAGTGGTATAATATTAAGAAATGGCATAACAACATGTATTTTGAAGAATCTGGGATTGGAATGATACAAATATTTTCAGAAGAACTATTTATCAGGAGTTCATTGGTATGCAACTTTTTAAAACTTGTAAAGTTTTCTTCGATATTATAAAGATAGTTTTTCATCATGAAGCTATTATTTACAGTGCTCTATTATATAAAAGACTGTCATTTGTGAGAGGCAAAGATACTTGCAAATAAATGTATTTTCCACTTTTTCCATGGGTATAGTATGCAAATTAAGTCTACACTTGTATTTTAAAATAATTTGAAAGTTTAACAATCACTGACAAAAAAGATGAGTTACAGAAATTCTGAGTTTGTCAGTATTCAATAAATCAGTAAAAATTTTATTTCTTAAAAAAATGAAAGAAAAATTAATGCTTAAATCTTTTTTTTCTTTTTTCCTGTTAATTTCTTATAAGTTTTTTGTTGTTGTTGTTTTGCTTTGTTTTAACCAACTGTGCACATTTATATCTAGTAACTTAAACAACTAATTTGAAGATAATGTCATGCAATATAACAATCATTGTTGAATACCTATTACTTTTAGTGAAATTTTGTATTGTTTTCAATGATTTTTTTTTTCTATTTTGTATTCTTTAAAAAATAAAAAAGAAACAAGAGCAAAAACAAAAAAGACATTGATCCAAATACCACCACCCCTTCTTTGGAAAGAATATGATCCTCTGAATTGAGAGAGTAGGCAGTGGGGTGCTGCTGCTGCATTTGTTGGTAGGGAATTGCTAAGGCAAAACAGCAAACAAGAAGTAAGGCAAGATTTCTCCTTTGGAGTTACCAGGAAAAGCACAACAGTTCTTCAAGATTGTGCTGGGGAATCATCCATTGTTCTTGCTTGTCTGTTTTGTTTTGCTTTTGTCTCTCTGAGATAGGGTCTCACTATGCAGTTCAGGCTGGCCTTGAGCTCACTTTGTAGCCCAGGCTAGTCTCAAACCAGTGGCAATCCTCCTGCCTCAGCCTCCTAAGTTCTGCGATCACAGACATGCACCACTATGGCTGGTCATGGCCATTGTTTTTAAAAGAGGAAATGAGGTTTCATCACTTCTCAAAGGCAAATACTCTATTTGACTTTTTAATCATGCTTTCTTTTTCTTGAATGTCTACAAATAAAGTCTCATCTTTGAGTAATCACATGATAAGCCAGAGGTAGTCATGTAGCCTTTACAGATGTATGGGGTGAAAGAGACTTGAGATCTTTTCATGAGCATGAGTACATAAGCCTAGAGAGGTGGAATAAGTTGTTCTTATGGTAAATGGTGGGATAGGAACAGAAGCACAATGGTTGAGCCCTGGGGGCCTTCTGTTATTCCCATGTACGGGCAGAGCTGGACCTACAGCAGCACACTCTTTTCTTGTATTGCACGGGGCGCAAAGCAGGTTAGTAACTGATGGACAAATCATAGAAGGAAATAAAAAGTTGAAGGAAACAGAAATTTAAAAGCTGAGACGTGAAAAGCAATACAATGAACTTGTGTTTAGGACAAGGTATTTCTATTTGAAAAGTGTCAAGTAAATATACAACTTGTGATCCAGTGATGAGATGAGGTCAGTAATTTCTGAAAATCTATTTTAAGAGGAGAGTAACAGACTTTCCTGAAGCACCTGTGAAGATTCCTCTGGGTTTATGTTATATAGTCTCTAGCTTTCTGAGGATTAACATTATGCTCTGAATAAAAGTTAAAGTGGGGCAAGCCACTCGGGTCCCCCTCTGTCCCTGTCATGGACAGGCACTTTCTTTTTCCTCAGTAAATATATTCTGCCCTTTAAAAAAAGTTAGTTAAAACTGGGCTTGATGACACATGCCTGTAAAGCCAGCACTTCGGAGGTTGAGGCCAGCCTGGGCTACATAGTGTGTTCAAGGTCAGCTTGGAATACATAGCAAGACCATAACTCATGAAAAGGAAAGAAAAAAGGAGGAGGAGGAAAAGTTAATTAATGCTGTGCATGGCGGTGTTTGCCTGTGATCTACAAAATTACTTACAATAATAATTAGATTCAGTTTTCTATTTTTTTGCTTTGAGAAAACAAGTTACATCTGAACAAAACAAATATCATAAACCAGTTCATCTAGATACAGTAAGTGTTTTGAGAATTAAACTAGATATGAGCAAACAAATACCTGTGTTTGAGGCAATGCAGATGCTAGTCATATTAATTATAGCAATATACAATACATATGTGTATTGAAACATCATACTATTGTCCATAAAATGTATAATTATTATGTGCCAGTTGAAAATAAAATTATCCTTAAAATAATGTTATGAGATACTCTGCGTTCAGGTATTAAACTTCTTCCAATGCACTAGTCTTATAATAAAAATGACTAAGAGTTGGTAAGGCACATGTTTAATAGCTTTTATGGTAAGTGAATAGACATACTGAATGCTTGATCTAGAAGATTATTTTCTAATCTGTAATATGCATTGTTGTATATTACCATTACTGTCTTTTCTTCTATTTGTTTTTGCTTCTGTTTTTACTCTTCAAAATAAAATAAAATAAAATAAAATAAAATAATAAAAATAAGATTATTTTATAAATGTCCTTTTTTTGGCATACTGATGATATACATTTTTCATGGATGATATTAACAATGTGGGAACATTTATTTTGTAAAGAAAATGTTTTCCTTTTATGGATAAGATTATAAAATGTTGGAGAACAAGTAAATAATTCTCAAATATATATTAGCTGGATGAATGGATAGGTATGCATAAACATATGTAGATACAAATATGATATTGTTAAAAATTATGAAATGCCATTGTTTTGAACTGAATTCCTAGATTGTGACCCAATAGATCAAACAAAGTATGTGTGAAACACAAACAACTTATGCCAAAGGGTGTGTCTTAGTCACTTTTCTCTCACTGCTGAAAGAAAATACTAGACCCTCCCAAAATTAAAGTAGGAAAGGAGTATTTAGCTCATAGCTTGTAGAGGTTTCAGTGCATAATTGGCTGGCATCAAGGCACGGTGGCTTGCCAGAGGAGAACAGCTCCAGGTGGCAGAAAACAGCAGATGCAACAACAGAAGGAGCAAGAGTAAGCCTCTGTCAGTCCTTTACATTGTGTTCAGGCTACCACTCTAGGAGGACTAGAGTGTAGCCCTCATTCGCTTAATTTCTACATTAATGCCATCTACAATGGGATTAATGGACCATTTATCAATTAATTGAACATTGATCAATTAATGGATCATTAATCAATCACAAACTCCAGATTCAGGCACCTCTGAGAAGCCTGGCCCCATGATCTAGACATAAACTATAACATATTTTTTATTGTTGTCTTCGTAGTGGTTATTCATAGTACAAGATGTAGATATGATATCCTGTCTAAACACTATTAGTACAAATCTTTCTTCTCACTGAAGTAAGAGAAAGTAGCTGTATATCCACCCTAGCTATTTTGTATATACAGATACAAATGAGCCTTCATTTGTATCCCCCTTTTTTGGTCTAGTTTTGTCAGAGATGGGTATTCCATTGCCATTTAAATATTGTAGGTGCATGAATTCAGCAAAATATTCCAATATAGTCCAGTAGTCCATAATGGGTTTTCCTTAGGACTGGCAATGTCAGAAGCTGTTATCACTTCTTGGCCTTTTGGCTAAGATCAAGTGTAGAAGCTGTTGACTTAAGCCTTTTACAGCTCAACATATTAATATGGCTTTACTTTTCATACCTCGTTTTTATACTTTTCTGCTGAAGGGTTAAAACCAAGATAAAGCAAGACCTATATAACAAGAAATTTAACTTTTGTATCTGACAAATTCAGTCAAATTCCCTCAGGATTTCACCCTCAACCCTGTACTGCAGTTTGTATATCCTTTGTTAGTGTCAGTCATGTGGATGAGTCACAGCCATTGCATAACACAGTGCACAACCAAGCCGAAACCTAACAAACAGACTAGTTTTCTAAAAAGAAGATATTGATGGCAGCCAATGATAAGGTCCCAGTCAAGGAGAGCTACCATGTTTAGGAAATCCCTGCTAGTTCAATCTTGTACAGGAAAATACCCTAAAGTAACATGGTGTTAATCCATCCACTGCTTGCTCTATATTCTTTGTTTTGCTCAAGCTTCCTTAGAAAAACTCACTGTTCTGCCCCTTCCAGCACAGCACTATTTTACTTTGTGGATGGGAGGCTGCCCAACTCATGAATGACTAATGAAAATCAATTATACCTTTGCTGTTGAAACTTTGTCCTCTGATTCTGTGTGTATAAACATATACTGAAGGAGAGTCAAATAAATCAGACCCATGTGAGTAAATATCATATTTTCTCCCTAGTGTAAGAGCCTGAAAGAATAAATGAAAGCTGAAGGGTAGAATAGATACAGTGAAATGGAAAGAAATTGAACATAAAGAATAAACAATAAAGATGAGGGAAATGAGAAGAGATAGGAAGAAAAGTAAGGGGGAAAATCTTGCAAGTATATATTCAGGATAGCTGAGATGATTGTAGTACCAATTTCTATCAGTTTTTTTAAAGTAGCAGTGAATGTTTAAAATTTTCACTTTGACTAACTCTATATGCTAATATTTGTAATCGGAGCAGCTGCATTGAAGACAGCAAAGTGCAATAGGAAAATCACGGTTCAATACATCTCATTTTTTTCTTCGAAATGGGTACCATTTCTAATGTCTTATCAATTATTATTGTATTCTCTTTAAAATAAACCTAAAAAATAATTAATGAAAATAAAAAAGGAGGTGCCTCCCCCACCCCGCCCGCCGAGTAGGATTTTCCGCCCAGTTCCGGGAGACCCCAGACCCAGTCCTAGCCCAGGTC